ACTAAAGTTACTATTTAAGGCAGTTTTAATTTTTTCTTACATCTGACTAGGTTATCAGAATTTCCATTTCATACTTGAACAAATTCAAATGAATTTGAAGAGTATAGTTAAGGCATTATAACAAGATTTTCTTAGGAGGAAAATATAAAAATGTGACCTTCATATCTCATGCTACTAAGGAAAATGAAAATGGGGACATCTGTCATAGAACTCTTTGTTATAGATTAAAAGGTACATGGTCTGGGAGGATGAGGTAGGATTGCAAGATTAAGGTTAGCCTTAGTGAGACCCTATCTTGAAGACAGAAGGGGGAGGGGGGTTGTAGCTCTTTGGTAGACAGTCCAACACAGCTCATTCTCAGTCATGATTATGATGCTACAGTGGGGAGGACCAAATGCTGCAGTTTCACTGTCCTAATCATTTCTTCTACGTTCTTGTCCCTGCTCCTTTTTGTTCCTGTAGGTCAGCCCCAGCTGATGCTCACAGCAGGACCTAGTGTTGCAGTCCCTCCTCAGGCACCTTTTGGTTATGGTTACACTGCACCACCTTATGGGCAGCCGCAGCCTGGCTTTGGCTACAGCATGTGAAGTGAAAAGCTGATCCTGTAGTCTCCTATTTTCATACAGAAACATCACCTCTACCCACTTCTCAGTTTATAAATGGGGAACACAGGCAACATGTTCTTGTAACCTTTATTTCATGAAGGACTACTTTTTTGTTTCTAACTATAAACTTGGATCATCTATGTTAAACCTTATTTCACATTCCACATCATTTTAGAATTTATTTTCAAAGGGGAATAGTATTCACATGGGCTTTTTTTTTCCCCTTCATTCTTTGAAGAACTGCTTAATACTCAATCTATTGTGAAGAACCTGATTTGCACTCTGTAGTGTTTAAAGAAAGAAACTCTAATATTGAATCTCTTAAATTTAGTGTATGTAAACAGCTTACAATATGTATTGTCTAAATGCATTAAAATCTCTTATTCAAAGGCAAGCTAAAGCAAAAATACTGGTATATGACCATGCAAGACTGTCAATGCCAACACAGACAACACTAATCAGCATATCCTACACTGGATTGCAGTGCTCTCCAAATTATTTGAAAAATGAATACAGACAACTTGCCTGATTTTTAAAATGAGCATAAAAGGCCCTCTAACCTATGCAGGTTTCCCCATTACGCCTATAGAAAATGCTAGTGTGTTTTGCTCACTTCGTATGTAACAGGTGCCCTTATGTTGTGCTGTATCTTGTGCTTTTTCTGTGGGACCATTCCATTCAGGAACAAAGAGCACCATGATTCCAATCTTGTGTGTATTTACTAACCCTTCCCTGAGGTTTGTGTATGTTGGATATTGTGGTGTTTTAGATCACTGAGTGTACAGAAGAGAAAATTCAAACAAAATATTGCTGTTCTTCAGTTTTGTTTGTGGAATTTGAAATTACTCCGATTTAAAATAAACCACTGGACTGTGGAAATATATGTAGAATCGCAGTTTTAATTAAATACCTCCCAATCCAAAACAGCAGCTTCAGTAGTCTCCTATTGGATACTGAGGTGCAAGACAAGGAAACAGAAGTGGAAGAAGCATTGGGACTATGAAGTCATTATGCACTGTGTTTTGTACATTCCTGCGGTTAATAACGGATGTGCAACAGTACCAGTATTTAGTTTGAAAGAACCACTCACTACATTAGAGGGCAACATTTCTTGTCTCCAGACACTTTAACCAAGTGGCACTTTAGGTTTTATCTAAGCATTTCACTTAAGTAAATCACAGGTGTTAACTTGTATTGACTGAAATAAAAGTATATTTTAAAAAGTAGTTAGCATCCTGTTTCTTACCATGACCTGCAAGGATGCCCAAATATTTGGTAATGCTGGTTTTTCTTTTTAGTATGTGAATCCAAGAGTTTTGCTTATGAATGTCACTTTAAGTTCATTTCACTATCCCCCAATCATCAGTAATCAGCACAGTCCTATCTCATCTTCCATGGCTCTAGAACTCTTAGGCAAAATACTGTAAGTTGCACAGGCTATTTTATAAACTTAAAATCCCTGTACCCTCTGTGCTTTAATGCCTCTTAATGTCTATAGAGTAGTGTTAACAGGGAAATTCTTTTTGGTTTATCACTGTGAAAATATTTTGCCTTTTAGGCCTGTGTTCCCAATCTCTGGTCCTTTCTTGTTATAGATCATGAGGAAGAAAAGTAATGGTCGCTGGGAGCTCATTCTTTTTAGTGAAGAGTTCTAGAACAGTGGTACAAACCACTGTTTTCCTCTAAAGACAAAAGATGTTAATGTATGAGGGTTTTTTCCAAAGTAAAACAATATTCATGTTTAATTGCAGTGTTGGCACCTTGCAGTAAATGAGTAGGTTCTGGGTTGCAGTTTAGCACTTGGTCTCTTAAAAAGTTTGCCATCACTGGTCTAAAGAAAGCTAGACTCAGGACCCAAACTTTTCCCATACCTCAAGCATAGAATTATTTTATTCTTTTCCCTTCTTCAGTAGGAGCATTTAAAATACTGTTTTTGTATAACTTCACAATTGTGTTTCAACAACAAAACCCTTGTTACAATTACGTACTGTATCTGATGATGACACTGGGTTACTAAAACATCCAATATGGACTACACAAGAAACAGAAACCACTGTGGTATCGACATGTCAAGTCCTCAATCATCTGAGCTTCTTAGTTTGTTTCCTTGTCTGTATATTAACACTAAGTTCTTTTCAGAATTATTTGGCAGATTTTGTTTAATAAAACACCTACCTCAAGACTGAGTAATTTTATGTATACAACAGGCAATGAATTGGTAATAAACTTATTTTAAGCTAAAGATCTTCCCTAACAAGTATCACCAATGATCTTCTAAGAGAAGGAGTTGAAAACAGGATACAAGTTTACCATTCTAAATGTAATCTGAGTAAGAGCTAAAAGAGGAGACATTAAATGGCAAATAGGTATTCAGTTACCTTATCCTGTGTCCAAATACAGCCACTACAGCAACAAGCTCGTGATATTTGACGTTATTTCAACACACCTATCAGTATGAGAGCAATACTGCTAATCCCCAAGTAGTATCCCTTGACTTTTTTGTAATGAAGTTGTACACACAATCTTACTTTAATCCTTTATATTTTCCAATTAAGATTCCCAAAATTCATTTGACCTTTATATCCATTGATGTTTACTATTACTAGAAACCAAAATGGGACTGCATATAAACATGGACACTTATGCACAGGTTATATGGGAACTAATAACTTGTTTTTCCAATTGTCAATTTTATTAAAATCATATTTCTGAGGAACACTGATGCCAGAAAAGTTTTGCTTTGTTTTTGGCAGTTTCTTGAGACTCAACCCAGGGCTTTGTACATACTAGGCTCTAGCACTGACATTCCCACAGCCTACAGCTCCAAGGACAGGCACATATCTTCCAAAATACTGTCAGCAGTCTTCCTTTTATGTGACTAGTTCATTTAGCTTATGAGGAAAGGATCCAGGTTCAGTTTTCTTGCAAGTAAAAATGCATTACAACCTAGTTTACTCATATAGCAGTTCTTTTGCAGAGATGTTCAATGTAACATGGAATGTTAAAATACTCATGGGTCAAAAATTTTTGTTGTTTTCATCAAGGACATTAAGTAAAATTTTACTGTGAGTGCAGAGCAGTGAAGGATAGTCTCCGGTACTGGTAGGAATCCCTGCTGGGATTTGTGGAAATGAAGCAGTTCTCCCCCACCACTGCTTTTGTATCATCACTGCAAATGTCAAAAATATATATTATAAAAATAATTTATCACAGAGACTACGTGGGCTATGCAGAGTACACTTAGTATAACTGTTAAGAGTCCTATAAAATGCCAAGTATAAATGAAAAACAGCGCTGTATATTTCCAGTTACAAGAATTTTTGTACTATTTTTCCTACTAGATAGGTCATGACTTATTACAGTTCCTTGAATCAGCCACTCTAAGCCATCCTGTTTGGGCTGTACTTTGAATTTGGACTGAGGCAAGGCTCAGAAATTATCTGAAGCACAATCACACCATGTAGGATTGAGTTCAATTGAGTTACATGTTGTTGCATCACTTAACTTTAGTGTAAACATTTTGTTTAGAAACAGTTGCTACTGTAGCTGTTGCAGTTTCTCCTGTGCTGTCATGCCACTGTAAACTCAATGAAGTGTACCAGGCATTCAAATTTTCAAGTAATCTTCCTAGAAGTCTCCGAAGTGGTGCTGTCTTGCTCCTTGTGTTTCTATTAACAATGGATACTTGGAACAATAGAAGAAGGGCCTATCACATGTTTTCCTGGCATCTTACAGTTAATGGAAATAGAGTGAATTAGAAATTTCTGTTAGAATCTTCCTAGACTTCCAAGAAAAATTACTTTTAACAAAAAATACAAGAAGCTCTGTGCCTTTTGGGAGTTGAGAGCTGGTTTACATCCAGCCTAATGATTACTAGAATTGTTAAGTATATAAAATCAAAAGGAAGAAATGGTACCCTTAAATGATTCAATTGTTTAAAGTTCCGGGGAAAGAAACAAGGGTTAACAAATTACCCTAAATTATTACATGGGCCCGCTCTTTCTGCCTTTAAAGTCCATAAGCTCATTTTACAAGCTTCAAAGATTTCATTATTAAAAGAAGGGAAGTAAAGGAATTTTTATAGACTATAACTTAGACCACTGCTGAGAACATTTGGTCAGTGTGGGTTGAGGAAAACATGAAACACTGTACAGGTGGGTCATATCCCAATGCTATAAAATTTTAACTGAAATGCAAAAATCTAGACATCCTAAACCATAAGCCTTCACTGTGTGTCTATACTATGATCAATTAATAAAATTGGCTATCGGCCATCCAAAAGTAATGAGACACAAACGGTAGCTGTGTTCAGTAAGAATTTCATTCATGAGCCTGTTCTTCCCACAGATCAGCAGCACAGTCTCAGGGAAAAGCTGACACACAAAGGGTCAAAACTGCAAAGGGAAATTTGTTATCCTTTTTAATTTCACTTGATCATGATCCCTTTCCAGCATTTTTTTTTAGCGCCCATTTGAATCACCAAGACCACTCAACCAGCACTTACATATTTAAGCTGGACGCATATGACAACATAGGAATGGATTTTATTTTCATCTCAAGAACAGTTAAATTGAGGAGAAATTGAACTTTTATTGTTAGAATCTGACAGGCTTCAAACACCTATGATAGGATCATGGTCATACAAAAGCCCACCTAGTAAAGTTTTAGGTGACCAGTAACTTTGTCAATTAGATCTGTTGGTCCTGGCCCAATGCCTAGAACAGTTTGAGAACCTGGTTCAATCTGAGTACGTCCAGCATCTTGGATTAAGCTTACAGTCAGTCCTAGCATTTTTGCATGGGTCATTAATTCAATCAGGGTTTCTTCATCAGGGGCTTTGACCACCACTTTGGGCTGGCCACAATAGTCCCACTCCTTGAGCACTTTAGGATTTCTCTTTTGAATTTGCTTGTAGGCAGAAACGGCAGCATGAGAACACTGGGCAGCGACTTTTCCTTTTCCCATCTTTAAGTCATTTCGGACCACAAGAACCATTTTGTACTCCCCACTCTCTCCCAAGATGTTTGCTTCAGTTCCGGTGTCTGTGTTTGTCTCAGTGGTCAAGTTTTTAGGGACCATCCCAAATCGAACCCGGAGGCTCCACCCCAGGCACACACCACAAGCAACTCCAGCAGCCAAGCTGAGTGTGCCAGGATGAGCCAAGTACTCCATAATCAAGGACGTGGAGAGCATCCTAACAAAGAAAAAATGTTAACACTGTATACCAGTGGAAGAAAAACTCAGAAGCTTATCACATAAACACATGGACTATAGGCAGCAAGCAATATGTTACAACTATATGAGGTCATCTAGAAGAAAGGCAAAATATACTTTGGATCTTTTGTATGCACTGTTTCAATCCATCCTCTCTGGAATAGAAAATATTCAAGTATCCACATCAATTTAGGCCATTTGAACTGGTGTGAGTATTCTTTGGTTCAAAAACTCTTACTCAGTCTTCTTAAATCTTGTGGAGAGAAGAAATGGTATTTTACCACTATACCTAAAAGATTTAAAGGGGAAACCAGAAAAATAGCCCTTTCCTGAAAAGCTGTGTGTTTGTATTTTGGCTCTCAGTTCTGACCTTGACAACAATGGGCTCGCGTTGAGGTACTCTGCTATCATTTACTAGGCACAAGGCAAGGCTAGAAACCTTGCAAAGATGCAGTTTTACCTCTGGACATTCATATAATTTGTATAATATCTAAGCTTAGAGCCCAAATTCACTTAAATATGATCACAAATTATATTATTTTTAATGTAGTTTTTTTTTTTTGCGGAACCGGGGACTGAAATTAGGCCTTTGTGCTTGCCAGGGAAGCGCTTATTCCACTAAGCCACCTCCCTAGCCCTGATATAGTTTTATACTTTTTTGTGAAGTATAACTGAAGTCAGATCATCCATGCTTTATCCTGTTATAGAAAATCATGTTAACCTAGCAAAGAAGTTGTTTATATTTGAGTCCCAATAAAACAGCTCTATCAGCCTACATTGAGGCTTTTAGAATTCATAGTGCTTCTATGTATAGCTACAAGCAACATTTCTGGGAGTGTCCAAGTTTTTGTAAACATGAAGCCACCATACTTGTGTGCAAGTAAGAGAAATCCAGGGGCTGGGGAGATGGCTCAGTAGAATAAGCACTTCCCTGGCAAGCACAAGGGCCTGAGTTCAATCCCCAGTTCCTCCAAAAAAAAAAAAAGAATGAGAAATCCATAATCCACATGACATGAATGATAGTCCTGGAAATACTTATCATAAATTTCTTCATTAGATTAAAGAATATTAACATTTTTTAAATTCATTTGATAGGAAGATTATGCAGTGTTACCAGGTTTTCATTTCAGGACACTTAATAGATCTCATTTGTTAAAAATATAATTCACAGGCCCAGGGGTGTAGCTCAGCAACACAGCACCTGCGTGGCAAGCCTGAGGTCCTGGGTTCAATTCCCAGTAGAAATATATCTCATAAGATAAAATTCACCCTTCTCAACTGTACAATTCAGTGTTGTGCAGTATTGCCACAAAGCTGTGCCACCATCAACACTATTTCCAAAGAACATTTTACGTTCACCAAAAGCAACCTCTTACTTTGTAAACCCTGTTTTCCTTTTTCTGACAACCACTAATCTACTTGGTGCTTATGGACTTAACCTATTCCAAACATTTCAAATAAATGGAATCACATGTGACATTTTGTTTCAGCTTTGATTTAGGGTAACACTACTTTTAAAAGTTGAGGACCAGCCAAGTATTCAGCGGATTAAAGCACTTGCAAGCAGGTGTAGGGGCCAGGGTTCAATTCCTAGGCCTGCAGTGCCAGCCCTGTCCCTGGAGCACGCTGAGACAGGGATTGAGACTGGGCGTGGTGGTCTACACTTCTAATCCCAGCTCTTGGGAGGCTGTAAACAGGAGAATCACTAGGAGTCCGATCTAGTAATGAGGCCCTGAACACCCTGTAGACCCTTCCCCCAAATACAGAAAAAAATAAATAAAAGTTGAATGTAGGTCACAGTTAATTAAAATAGGCTGGGGAGATAGCTTGGCAGTCTAAGTGCCTGTTTGGCAAGTACAAGGACCTGGATTGGAACCTGCTACCCCATGCCATACCAAAATGGGCGTGGTGGCACACGCCTATAATCCCAGCTCTGGGGAGGCTAAGACAGGAGGATCACTATGAGTTCAAGCTGTGTAGCAAGACCCTGCACCAAATAAAACTATAAAAGATTTTTTAAATATTTAAATAGTAAGATAACCTGCTACCCTCATAAGTCACCATCTCTAATCCAAGCCTTTCCTCTGCAGGTACAAATCTTAATTATCTGAATCAGCTACTTAATGTTATGAAACTATCTGAGTTCATTATAATCATTTTTAGGCACTTTCTAAAACACCAACCAAAATTCCCTCTGCAATTTACAATTCTTTCTAGAGCTATCTTCTCAATACCTAACTTCTGCAATCAAAGCAGAAAATACAAGAAAACTAGTGAAGAACTTTTTGGAGAATCTATTATTTATTTCCACACAACTATTATTTACTGCCAATATGACCATAAAAAGCATGTAACACTCATTTTGAAGATGAGAAAATAAAGATCAAACAGAGAAGCTACTTATCCACAGTAACATAGTAAGATAGACATATGTAAAACTATCAAAGGTTCACTGTCTCCACTTCATCAAAACACACCAATAAGAAGTCAGTGGGACCAGATAGCTCAGTGGACTTAAAGCACTGGCTTAGGCAAGCACAAGGACCAGGACCAGGATTCAATCCCTGACATACTGTGCCAGCCCTGCCCACCTCAGAGGGTGCTGAGATGAATGAGATTGGGCCTGGTGGCGCATGCCTGTAATCCCAGCACTTGGGACACTGAAAAGAGGAGGATCACTACGAGTCTGATCTGTGTAGTGAGACCCTGTACTAAATAAGTTTAAAAAATGGGACCTGCCCATTAGCTCAGTTGTTCACGTGCCTGCTTAAAAAAAGCAGCGAGGCTCAAGTTGCTCTGGTTACTCCCACCAAACCAGAAATGCCCTGAAGGCATATTCAGGCCAAGAAAAAAAAAAAATCAGTAAAACAGAAGGGTAAAAATTCCAGAAATGTTCAAACTTTTGCTTTTGTTCCATATCTAAATGAGGTCTCTGATTATAAAATCTGGTTGTTTTAATTTCATGTCAACTCAATCATCTAACTCCTCCTAAAAGGGTTTCAATCTCTTTCTCACACACTGATTATCTACACATTAATGAACTGGACACTTGAGACTAATAGTCTTAGTCTTTCAATTTGAAGCAATGACAGCGCAGTAAAACAACTATGGCCTATAAATCCTTCCTCTCATGCCTTCTAATTACCCTGCCTGACTAAACACATTTCCCTGTTGCTCTTGGTCCCATCACCTGCCGAGCCTTGCGCCCCTCATTAATCCCACTTCACACGTCACTGTCCGAATTTTCCAACCAGAAAAAAAAAAGACTTTCCCAAATCTTCAAACCTTTAACTACTGCCTTGCTTTTCCTCTTTCCATTATATCAGAAATTACTGAACTCTTTATCCTTCTCTCTCTTTTTTTTTTCTTTATCTCTTCTGTGCACCAATCCTCCCCATTCTACTCAAAGTGTTAAGGAACCTAAAGCCCCATCTTGAGCTTTCCCCACTAAGCATTCTCATCACTCTTTCTTCCCTTAAATTCTTTAACCCAACTTTCACCCCAACTGTCATTCTTACCTTGTTCACAGCTTTTTTAGTCTTCTCTGGAGCTCTACATCCTCTGCCACTGATATATGTACTGAATTACATAAGCTTACATACATGGCCCTCTTTTGAGCTTCTATCTCATGGTTATAACAGCCATTAACCACATGTGGTTATGTAAACTTAAAATTCAATTCTTCCGTTGCAGTTAGCTATCTTTCAAGAGCTTAATAACAAGTAGAAAGTGACTAATGGTAACTTCTATCAGGAGATACAGAATGAATATATGGTTCACTAAAGAAAATTCTACGGAACTGCGCTCGTCTGTTTCTTCTCTTTCCATTCAATCAATCAGTGGGACATCTCTGAGGGGTTAGTGTGCATTCTAGGAACTGTTCTGAAGCCTGGATAGTCAGTGTACCAAAACAAACAGAACAGTCAGTCCCATAGAGTTAACATCTAGTGGGAGGAGACAGTCCATAAATTTCATCACTTGAACAATCTCATTTATTCCCAAACCCCTGTATGCAAAAACTATCTGTAGTGCTATGCATCAAAATCCAGGACTGTGTGCATTTAAACATTCTTTTTCTTTACTTTTGATTTCTAAGTAAATCTGCACTTTTTCTCCTATGTTTAGCCACTAAATCCTGTTGAATTTTTCTTAACCCTGTCCTGTTTCCACTTACAAAGCTCTCATTATCTTTCCAAAAACTTCCTAAATTACATTTTCTAATTCTAATCCTTTCCATATTTACTTCTGTTATTCTTGTTTATCCTATCCTTAATGCCATTAAAATTACATATTTAAAACACATGCTCAAAAATCAGCTAGACACTTGCAGGCTAAAACAAAATTCGTTCAGCACCAACTCAAAGACACTAGACAATTTGGCTGCAGCGTTCAATTTCCACCTAAATTCCTCTCCTACTACACAATGTACCATTCAGCCACACTAAATCCGTTCAAGCAGCAATCTCTCCCCAGAATAATCTCGTCTTTTCCATTTAAACAAATAAAAACATCCTAGTCACCTATGTTATTGAGAAGTCTTTACCATCCCCAAGCGAGGCTGCATTATTTCTTTTTCAAAACTTCTCTGGCACGTATTCCCAGTGTCTAATACAGTGCTCGCTGTGTGGAGAATTAAATGCTTCTCTAGACGCTATTTCTATATGACACCGGAGAATAAAACTTCTGGTTTTTAGAAATCTTTCCACGCAACGCAACGGCTTGAAACACAACCCGCTCAATACTCAGCAGTGCGGGAGGCCCGTTTGCCTCACACCCGGAGTGCACTGATGCTGCCGAAGGAGGGGGCTTGGGCTGAAAATAAGAATTCTGGGTCCCACTCCTTCCTTGTATCTCGGTTTTTCCTTCTAAAAAACTGGACGGCAGGTCCGGCCGTTAGCTCTGCGGATTAAAGCGCCTGCTTACGCAGACGCAGGCATCGGGTTCGATCCCCGCTGTGCCGCGCCGGCTCCGCCCCCGGGGCGCGCTGAGGTGGCGATTGAGACGACGTGGTGGTGCGCGCCTGAAATCCCAGCGCTTGGGAGGCTGAAAACAAGATCACTACGAGTCCGGTCTGTGCAGTGAGACCCTGTGGACCCTGTACTAAATATATACTAAGAAAAAAACTGGTTTGCAAAACTGGCAGAGGGATCCAGTAGCCAGTGAGAGAAATGCAGTTTAACAAGATGAACAGGGGTTAGTAGTTATGGAATGAGCCAGGAAGAAACCCTCCAATTGGACGGAGAACGTGGTGCTGTATTAATCTCCTTCTCCCTGGAAAGGATCGACCTACCTACAGTACCTCCCCACCTCAGCCTCACCTTTCTCGTCTTCACTTGTAGGAAGCCGACACGTTTCTCGCGCGCCAGCTAGCTCTTCCGGTGTTTCTGGTAACTACTTCCGGACCAAGAACCACAAGGGGAGGAGTTATTCTTCCTCTTGCCACGCCCACGGCATCCGAACTACGAGCTGAACTGAAATCCTGCGAGGATCAGCCAAGATTGCCGAAGGGAGGGCGGAACGTTTCTCTCTTGGAGGCGGTCTCTGCGGAGACCCGGCCGGAAGTGACGCTGGCGAGTTCCGGTTAGCCGGAGCCCAGCGGCGGGTGTGAGAGTCGGTCGGGAGCCGCTTCCAGGATCCTGAGGTCCGGAGAAGCCGGGGTTGAAGCGGGTAAGTAAACGTAAGCGGGGAATTAGGGACGGAAGTCTGAGGCTGTTTTATCCTCAGAACTTGGCTTCTTCCTGCGTTCTCCTGTTCACGGCATTGCAAATTGGGGCACGGAGATTTCGACTTCAGGAGTGTTGGGGCGCTGCTGATTCTGGATGTCTCAGCCTGGACGTGGTCAATCTATTTGGGACACCTGTCCTTCGCGGGTTAACCGGACATTGAACCCAGACGCTGGACTCCTTTCCGTTCGCTCTCCTCTCCACAGTCGAGGATGCCGTACTCGGCTTCTTAGCAAACCCTACCTTGCCGGGGTGTCCGGGACCTTGGAGCAGATGAAGAACGTCTTCTCTGCTGGTGAGCAAGCTGTTTGATGAGCTTCCAGTTTGGTTCTTGCCCTCCCCAGCTGCTAGCGCGACATGGTAAATTTATTCGCTTCTAAAAACACCTAGTGTGTAAGTGCCATCTAAAGCCCTGGTAATAGGATAGGGTAGTCAAGGGAATGGGCCTGCGCTTCATGGAAAGCTTGCTGGGATCTCCCACTGGGAGAGAGCCCATGAAAAATACAGTTCTCTGCATTTTTCCTAAATCCTTGGTTTCCCAATGTTTGTATTTCATTACCGTGAACATATTTGCGATAACGCATGAAGGTCAATTTAGTCTTTAAAATTCCAGGAGACCATAAATGGCTCTGTCACACTGCTGGGTTACTTAAGGACCTCCAAGCCGGGTGTGGAGGTGTGGGAGTGCATACCTGGAAGCCTAGCATTCCTAAACCTGAGGCTGGAGGATCTCCTGGAGTTCGGGGCCAACCTGAGCTACTTAATGAATTCATGGCCAGCCTGAATTGCATATTGAGACCCTGTCTCAAAAGAATAAACAAATAAACAACCCAAACTTAATGACCTTCAGTAGATTTTTTATGGTCATCTAATTGTCTGCAGCTCCGTGCTAAACTTGCACTATTTATGTTTCTTGGTACCATTGTTTCTTATCTCCTTTGGTGCTTTTCAGAAGTTTTGTAGACAGATTGGATTGGTCATTGGAAACGTTTGAACAAGTATTTCTAGTTTTGTAATGATAGAGAATTTAATATGCTGGTACTACCTATTCATTGTCATTAACTGATTTTAGTTGTGTATTTTTAGCATTGATGATGGGAAGAAACTGTTCATTAGAAGGCGTCATTATATGCATTTGAAATTGTTCCTATTGGCCTTTGGAAGAGAGAGGGTGGTACCCCTACAAACGTGACCAATTTGTGTAGATGTGAAATGATGCAAAAGTAAAAATCTTTCATATGTTACTTACTTGCCTACTCATGAACACGGGAAGTACTCAGGATTGAACCTGGGGTCTTGTGGTGGTATCACTAAAGAACTTCACCAGCCATTTATTTTTGAGACAGATCTGATCAAGGTGCCCAGCTGGCCATGAACTTGTGATTCTCCTACATCAGCCTCCCAAGCAGCTGAGATTGTGTGGGTGCTACACCACACTCACTGGCAACCTGTATTATTTAAAAACTCTAATGATGGAGACCCCTGCAAAGTGACTCTGAGCAGGAATTTTGTTACCCAGTTGTCTTTCTATACTTACTTGTATGTTTGCCCAAGATCTGGGGACCTGGTCTGGAGATAGCAGCCTGTAATGTTGGGCAAAGCTTTGGCACCTCAAAGGACAAGAGAAGGCCACAGATAAGGACCCCTCTGTTAACTAGATAAAGACTGTAGCTACAGACATCTCACTCCAGGTGGAGACCTCCCTGGAAATAACATAATTCTCCTAAATTAGTATAACTTCTTACTTGGAGAAGACCATACAGGGATTCCCAAGACCTACCCTGATTCCTGCATCTTCTTCAGTATCCCCCTCCTTTGTCAGTATAATGAATACAGGCTGCCTAGAGAAATTCTTTGTCTTAAACCCCAGAAAATATCTGTGAAAGGTTTTTTTTTCATTTATTTGATATAGGGTTTCACTACTCAGCTGGGACTCAGTGATGTTTTCAGTCTCCCCAGTGCTGGGATTACAGGTGTCGGCCACCATGCCTTAATTTGCCAGCTCAGCCAGCAATATGCACCCTGGGGGTGGGGCCAGGGCTGGCTCAGAATATAGAACCAGGGATCAAACCCTGGTTCCTGCGCTTGCCAAAGCAGGCACTTAGTCCCCTGAACTCTCTCGCTGGTCCACTGTGAAAAGGTTTTTGATCCCCCAGAGCCCTAAAATCATTCCTTTTGTCTCTTTTAAGTCCTTACCATCCACTAGTTGGGAGATTTTTGGGCCTGATCAGTGCAATAACTAGGGGATATTAATGGGATAACTGAAACTTTAAAATTAGAGTTTATTGGTACATTATATACATATATATATATATATATATATATATATAAAATGATCACAATTGTCATAGAGAATTTGTACTTGATATTGCTTGTCTTTTCCTGCATTCTCCTACCCTCCCATTCACAAAGCTTTGTTTCCATGTTTTCTTCCTTTTTTTTTTTTTAATTTAGTACAGGGTCTCACTACACAGATCGGACTCTGATTCTCCTGTTTTCAGCCTCCAAACTGCTGGGATTACAGGCACGTGCCACCATTCCCAGTCTCATTTGTTGTCTCTACTTGCCCTGAGGAGAGGCCAGCAGAACAAGCCAGGGATCAGCCCTGGTGCCTGCATCTACCTAAGCCTGCTTTAATCCACTGAGCTATCTGGCCAGCCCACTGATACTTTTATTTTTAAATGTACTTTCAGCCAAGTGTGGTGATATACACACCTATTATCCTAGCACTTCAGAGATTGAGGCAGGAGGAGCACCACGAGTTCAAAGCCAAGGCCAGTCTGGACTACATAGTGAGTTCAGGACCAGCCTGAATGATATATAGCTAGACCCTCTGTCCCCACCAAAGATATACTCTATTTGAGTATACTTTTTTTTTATTTGGTGGAACCAGGGATTGACCTCAGGCCCTTGCACTTGCCAGGGAAATACTTATTCCTCTGAGCCATCTCCCTGCCCCCCTGAATATACTTTTTTTAAAAAATTATTTTTATGTATTTGGTACAGGGTCTTACTCTGCAGCTCAGACTCATAGTGATCCTCCTGTTTCAGCCTCCCCAGCCCTGGGATTACAGGCATGCACCGCCACTCCTGGTCTTGGTGGCCAGCTTGGCATGCCCAGGGTGAGGCCAGTATGGCATAGGGCACCTGCCTAGGCAAAGCAGGGCTTAGACTTCTGAGCTATCTCTGCAGCTATTTGAATATACTTGATCCATACAGTTAAATTCGTATGGCTCACATTACAGAAGAAAATACACATATAACTAGGTTTCCAAAATACTTCAATAAATGGTTTGATCCCTTTTAACACTTTACCTACGGCTAGTTTAACTAGTCCTGCTTTTTATTTCTTTATATCTTTTTATTAGTACATATTGTCTATACATATACAGATTAGTGGGTTTCAAATTGGCACATTCATACATGCACATAATACTTTAATCATCACCCCAAATACTCCACTACTTTTACCCTATAATCCCTCCAGTTTTACATTTTTGGGAGGTTTCAGTGTATATAGTTTACTTTGATCATATCTATCCATTCTCCCATTACTTGTCCTTATACTCCTATCCCCCCTTTATTCCTTTCCTCATGTCTACTTACCTCCTTTTTTGTCATCTTTTTCAGATTCCACATATTAGGGAAAATGTGCAGTATTTGTCTTTAGTCTGTTACTTAATTCATATATTGTTCTTATTTTTTTAAAGTTTTTTCACAACTTGTCTTTAAAATGAGGTGACAAGTTTTTGACAGATAAAATTGTAAGATGTATCATTAATATTCTATGACTTAGCTTATTGATTATATAAATCCCAAATTATTTTATATACTTTGTGTTCAATTCAGTTATCCAAGTACTGATTATTCAACACCATTCTTTAGTATTTTGAAAATCATGAAACATGCAGTCAGAGGACTTGAATTGAATTCTGAGCTTCAGCATAGATTGGGCAGTGGTTAACAGATTGCCTGACATTCTGAGCTGGTCTGAATTGTGTTGATAAAAGTATTACTAGACTTTACTTCATAAGCTGTCACAAGATTTATTAAGGTAGCAAATGTGAAGTCACTATGTAAAGTGAAAAATTATTGATTTTTATCATTTCACTGACACCTGGAACAGTGTAGACTATTTAACTTTGCATCGTTTTGTGATATGATCATTTACATTATGTACTCTTTTATCTGAA